TGTTCAGAGCGTTTGGTCGTTTTTTGGCTCCACCCTCTTGTGTCACAAAAACAAGACGGCGACGGGAAAAATGCCGAACCTGAGGCTTCAAAACGGCAGTAAAATAAATATATTTATATAAAGAAATCCAGCACCTTGAAGAAGGGACAACTAACAACTCTTGAATGAAGAGTTTAAGAAATCGATCAGACGGAGGAGAGCAACAAAGCTCAGATAAGTCAACAATGAACTGTGTGCGTCTGTTGAAACATGTTGATTAGAAGCAAACAAACGCCGGTCCAGATAACACAGAAGCTTTAGGTTCAATGTACCTTGACCCTTTCAGAGACCCACTCAAAGTTCCTCTTCACTATCTGCATGGCCTCAGGGGTAACTTCCTTAAGGTCGCGGTACACCTAGAAAAGAAGGGGGGGGGGGGGACCGGTTATCTCAGCTTTTATAGTTATTCTTTAAGGGTCAGAGGCCAAAGAGAAGTTCTGACCTGCTTATCCTTCTGCTGGCTCCGGTCTCCAGCCGGCCACAGCCTCCACGAATCGTTGTCAATCACGTCAGCGAGGACGATCTCTTGAGTCTTCATGTTCACCCCAAACTCGATCTACAAAGCAGAGAAGACGATCCTTAATTGTGAAGCAGCTTAAAAGAGTCAAGTAGAAAAGAAGTGTTAAGGTAGAGTGCGCCGCATACCTTCATATCCACCAGCGTGCAGTTCTGAGTAGCCCAGGACCTCTCCAGGATCTCAAAGATGGCCACAGTGCTGCGGTTCATGATGTCCACCTCGCACTGGCCGATGGTGAGCCCGGCCAGAGAGAACTTGGTCTCCAGCAGCTGCTCCTCGGACCACTGGGGGTCGTTGTTGGCGTCGTCCTGTCAGAAAGCAACAGATTTGCATAAAAGATGGAAGGGACATTTGGACTCCATTGAGTCAAGTTGCAGCACTTAAGGGTAAAGCCTATTTCCTGATGTCCAGTATAGAAGGAGAGGGCTGCAGCTGCTCAACGGGCTCCGGCCAACTCCTCGTTCTAAAAATCTCTCGTCACATCCACATTGTTGAAATCTGCTAAATATTCAGCCATGACGTTGAAAATCTTTTAGACAACAACAAGCTGTGCTTTATGTATTCCAACACAACAAACCGGCACTCCTCTCTGCAACTCTCACTTAAATTTCCACCATTAACTTTCGGCAACAAGTTACTTGTTGGATTTGAGAAGGAGACTTCTCCTTGAGCACTGCCTGGGTAGAGACGATAACAAACAGACCGGATCAAGAGAAAGGTGTTCTTTATCTGTAGGGTTCTTTCCATAATGTTGTCAGAAACTTTAATAACAATCTGAGGCTGTCAGGGGGGAAAAACAAATACTTTTAGTGGACGTATGGACGGTGTGGAGTCTCCACGAGCAAATAGATTGCAGCCTGTATTGAAAAATACAGAAGTTACCCTTTAAGAGACAGACAAAACATTAAAAAGACAGTGTGGGGGAGGGGAGTCTCAGACTCACTTTAAAGAACATCTCCATCTTCAGGGGGGAGAAGCGGTAGCCTTCCTTGACCCCTGGATTCCTCTTGAGGAAGGATCCGGTGGCCACTCTGCGACAAACCCACTCGATGGGAATCATCTCACAGCGGGCGGCGACGAACGCCGTGTCCGAGTGCTGCTTCACAAAGGCAGTCTTAATGCCTGGAAGACAAAGAAAAGGGTAGATAATTACAAAGCAGCCTCAGACGTATTAAACAGCTCCACACTCAACATACCATCATTGAAAAACACAGCAGTACTTCAAATTGTCCACGTTATGTCCCTAAAGTTAAAAAGGTTGAACGTGGTTGGTTACGTTCTGGGGAATTAAGAGCGGCAAGGTTTGGTTTCATGTCACAAGACGGCCATGATTGCACTCACGAGCGGCATGTGGGTTACCCTTATCCCAATTACTGTTAAAGGAAGGAGGAGAGTCACTTTGGGCCCTACATGTTAAACATGCACCACGCCCCCCCCCACACGTCAACGTTACTGCATCAGCTCTGCACGTGAGATCAGTGCGGAAGGGTTTGATAACAGCAGGGATCACTTGAAAAACAAAACTAATGATGAACGACTATTAAAAATTGTTACTGAATTTTGTCATAAAAGGGTGGAAAAGTGGCACCACGATCATGAGTTCTCATGCATCAGTTGATTAAAGCATTTAATTTCAAAATATTTTGTTTCAGCAATTTAAAAAAAAAAATCTGTTTTTCAGCTTAAAAAAAATGTGAGAATTTGTTGGTTATTAAAATAAATCCTTCAGATTTTTCACTGTTTTGTCGGAGAAAACAAGCACGTGGGGTTTAACCTCTTAATAAGACCGGCAATTCAGTTCCGTGTCTTTTGTTGTTTTTTGGCTTTAACCCAAGTTGCTCAACATGTGGGAAGGTTGCCTGGAGGTTATGGAGTAACGTTGCAACACACCTGCACCTGGCAGAGTACCTCTTCAAACTGATCCACCAACTAACATGATACCAACTGTTCCTTCAGCCCTCACCAGCCTCCTGCAGTAGCTTGAACACGCAGCTCGTGGTTCTGTTGGCGATGGCTGCCTTGCCCTCCATCTGGTCCTTCCTCACGGCGTTCCCAGCCGTGATCTGGTCCTTGGACTGGACCAGGACCAGTCCGGGCTGATCCGCGAGCTCGAAGATCTGCTTCGTCTTTCCCTCATTGAGCTTCTGTCCGATGTTTAGCTCTGGGGGGGAAAACAACCCAAAATGCCATTTGGGCACATGTTTGCACAGTCTACTTGTTAACTGCGCATTCATAGGTGCACTGACTGTACCTGGTGTGGAGGCCATGCTGCTGTTCTGCAACACGCGACGATCCTGAAACACAAAAAGTAAAAACTCAACTTTTTGGGGTTTTTTAAGTTGCGAGATGAAGAGGCAGCAGGAGGCGTGCAGGCAGCCAGGAAGCAGAGGGAGGAAGTGAGAGTCTGTCTTACGTGCTCTGAGGACCAATCACATCTCTTAACTCACTCAGGCAACCAATCACAGCAGCGCATTAATCACCACGTGGTGGGGAGGAGGAGGAGAGAAGAGAGGAGGAGACGCTTCAACGCCAAGTGTTGCCGAGGCTGAATAACTTCTGTGGAGTTTGTCCACTAAACTAAAGCCCCGTTTGTGTTTCTCTTTGGACGTGAACAAAAGATCGATTTAAAAACAACGTAATCAATAGAAAACAATCCGGACTGATCGATTAATCGGATACAGGTTGAACTCCTCACCGTGGAAACACCACGTGTGTTTGGACTCATTTACGTGATATCAGTTTACGGCATGTCTTCTGACTGTTGAAGCTTTTTTTTGTTCCGGACTCGTGATTGCAACAATATCAGCTGAGTTTCTGTCGTTTTTAAAACCACGTTTTGCACGCGGAGAGTCGACGCTTTTCGCTGCCCCCCCCCCCCCTGCACGTGCTCAACGCGGTCAACAGTTGTCAGGTATACGCACGAGTCAGTTATCGCCCGGGGCAACGGAAGCACGTGTCCCCCGGGCCTGTGTGTGTGTGTGTGTGTGTGTGTGTGTCTGTGGGATTAACTGAGGACCGACGGGATGGAGTTCGAGGGGTCCGGTATCGGGGAGGAGTGCGGCGTGTTCGGCTGCGTGGCTGCAGGAGAGTGGCCCACACAGCTGGAGGTCGCTCAGGTGTTGACGCTGGGGCTCGTGGCGATACAGCACAGGTGAGTTACGGAAAGGTGTGTGTGTGTGTGTGTGTGTGTGTGTGTGTGTGTGTGTGTGTGTGTGT